TCAAACAAGGTCAACATGAGAATATTCAGGAATAACACAGAACAGGTTAAAGGTTTTGCATCCCTGATCAGACATTCTGGTTGTTGGTGATCTACATCTCCTTTTCTGATTGGTCCCTAGTTTGTTGCCAGGACCATTCAGGACAGAATTCAGAGATGTTTATTGAATTGTTGTCATTTTTCCTGTAACTCAGTGTTAAGTGTTTCTACCTTGGTTGTAAATATTATCAGTTGCACTTGTGTAACATTTGGTTTTGTTAAACGTTCTATTTTTCCATTTTCACAATCATAGGAGAAAATAGTAGAATTCCTGTTCTACTGTCTCACAAAACAACTTTTCTTATGATGTTTTATCAACTAAGAGCATTTTTATATAAAACAAATTTCTTTAAAACAGATTTTGGTTGAGGTTTTGACTCCGGTCGAGATTTGACAATATGTTTACATATATTTTGTTATACAATTATTTCATAAGTAGTATAACTAAAAGTATATCAACATCCTGAAGCCCGAAAAATTGATACTAATCCAAACTCTCACTGTAATTAATTAGGCTATTAAGTAAGTAATAGTAATTTGGTAATAGGCACCATCTCTTATCTAAATTAATAATTATAATAATTTAACAATTTATTAAATACTTTAGAACATTCTGGGATAAAAGAACCAACCCAAAGTAGAACTTAAACCCACAACCGCTGCTTATTGTGTGGTGCACTTGTCAGTTACGCCATCTAAATCTCAAGGCAAGTCTTTGCTTCCAAATGTATTTAAATTTAGATATAACCATTCACAGTTGTTGATGTATACATATATACCATACCAGGTAAAGTGATAGCTGGTTGAAGAAGTACATGGGTTGTGTATCTAGGAGTCGCCTCAGCTGGCACCATAAGTAACCATGGATGGTTATATCTAAATTTAAATATGCTAGAAGTAAAGATTTGCTTGGTTTTCAGATGACATAACTGGCAAGTGCATCACATGGTAAGCAAAGGATGTGGGTTCAAGTCCACTCCAGGATAGTTCTTTTCTTACAGAATGTTTTAAATTATTTAATAAATTATTATAATTATTAATTTAGATAGGAGATAATGCCTAACATCTACTTCTAGTACCAAATTACTTATTTTCTAATTATTAATTATAGCATAATAATAGCCCAATTAATTATGGCAATAATTTGAATTGTTATATCTAAAAAGGCACCAATTCAAACTTTTTGAATAATTAGAACTGGCAATATTGTAATATGTTTGACAAAAATTTGCATATTTAAATTCCACTCAAAACAACTATTTTTCCATATTTTCCTACATATAATTTAAAGTATCTAATAGTTAGAGTTCCAAAAGGTACAACATACCCAGGGTGGGATGCAATAGGTGTGAGGCCTGATTGAATTTTTTTTTGCAGGGCCCCCTCAAACTTTAAGTAACAAAATTAATTAACAGTTAATTTACATATTGAAATATAGATTTTAAATATTTATTTAAAACAAAATCCAAAATCTAATTATAAAAATCAAAAGTCATGAACCATAAGGTAGACAAATTTNCATTGATAACAAATGCAAATTTCACTCAAAGAACATAAAATGCAACTCAAAAAGTCATGGTAATAGTTCTTGTAAAAATAAATAACTCTGCAACATTCTTGATTCTCATAAAAAAGACTGATTTATTAATAAAAGTTTCAGAGAAAGTAATTATTTTTATAAATTAGTTGTTAGAAAATATTGACATATCAAGCACCGCAACAGATTTTCACAAATGATTTCATGTTATTGAAAAGTAACCAAGTAACCTGACCTAACCTCAGGCCAGATGCAATAGGTGTGAGGCCTGATTGAATTTTTTTTTTTGCGGGCCTCTCAAACCTTAAATAACAAAATTAACAGTTAATTTACATATTGAAATATGGATTTTAAATATTTATTTAAAACAAAATCCAAAATCCAATTATAAAAATCAAAAGTCATGAACCATAAGATAGACAAATTTCTAGATTAAAAAAACCTGTACCAAATATAAATACAACTACATTCTATTAAATATAAACATACATAGATATGTTTTAGTATTTCTATATTTTTAAATGAATATAACTACATAAATTTTTGCCATGAAAAATCTTCTGATGTGTTGATGAATGAATATAACTGAATTTTATTGAATATAAACCTATAAAGTAATGTTTTTATATGTTCTGAAGTTTTTGTTCTGTAAAATCTTCTAAAATAGTATCAAAACCCAACTGGCTTGCTTCTTGACTCTCAATCAACATGATTGTTAAACTGTTTAATCTATTCTAAGCCATTGTCAATCTTAGATAGTTTTTTATAAGTTTTAGTCTAGAAAATGGCCTTTCTCCAGATGCAACACTCACTGGAATTGTTAAATATATTCAAAGGGCAATAAATAGGTTTGGAAATGCCATAGCTCTGTCATTTTCAGATAAAAACTGAAACATTTTAAATGATTTTGGAAATATTTTGATGAAAGCACAGATTTTAGATCTTCCATTTCTTCGACTAACATATTACCGTCTAAGTCTGCTTCCTTCACAATATCAATAGATGTATTTTTAGTAGGCACTGACTGCATTTGTTTATTGTGGATAACAATGCCCCCTGCTAAAGCAGTGTCTTGAACTTTTAAAAAAAAAATTTGTTGTTATATTTTTAATAATAATATACCTAGATATTTATTTTTGTAACATGTACTATTTTTAAATATATAAATTTTGATGTGTTGCGGGACCCCTTCAAGCACACAGCCTGATTGGCACATATCACTCCAATTGCTTCAAATCCGGCCCTGAATATACGTATCTGCAATACTAAATTCTTCAATTATTAAATAATTTAATAAATTTAATAAGAAGCTAATAATTTTCAATAAATTATTAAATATTGTAAAATGTGAGATATATTTAGTTTATAAAATAGATTCATTAGAGAACTGAATTTTTTGCTTCAGGCAAATGTTGCAAGACAATGTTTAAGATTTATATATAAATACTCTGTATATATCACATAGGAAGCATTAAATTAATTTCATTTATTATTATTTCTCTTACTGGAAAATACAATCTAAGATTTGTGAATGCTCTGAGATGTTCTTTAATCTTTATATTACTAGATCTAAATATATAGCCTAGGTCAGTGGTCTCCAACCCCCGGGCCACGGACCGGTACCGGTCCGTAAATCAAATAGTACCGGGCCGCCCAAGGAACATTAAATTACTGGTATTTCCATTTTATTTACTATGGTGTATTTCTCTTGGGTTTGTACGACTTTTAATGGATGACGAAACAACGGAATAAACTGGACATAAGAAACACACTTCGGGTGTCATTGTCTCCTATTACCCCCAGATAGAACGTCTTGTTGCAAAGAAACAAGCTCATGGTTCTCATTGATTTAGCATTCTAGTGAGTTAAAATGTTAAATCACATTATATTCATTTTTTGGTGTAACTGTATTTTATTTTGAAGGCATGTTTAAATACAATTAAATTAAAATTATTAAATTAAATCAATCTAAAATATAAATAATCAACGTCCCCCTCAGTGGGCCATGGTAAAATATCAAACGTTGACCGGTCTGTGGCGATAAAAAGGTTGGGGACCACTGGCCTAGATAACAGGCTTGTACTTCCACAAGACCCCATTATCTACTGACTATTGGTATTTTGACCTTTTAATTACAATTTTATACATGTTAGCTAAAGCTTTATCTGATGATAATTCTTCACTGCTCATATCTAATTTTTCACCAACTTTTATGTTTCCTATTATGTCTCCCATTACATTTTTCAAAACATCATGTATGTACTGTACTTTTGCAAGCTTGCTAATCCTACCATAGGGAATGTGAAATGCTTAAAGGCTCTTCTTACTGAACTTCTGAAAGCCACTAATTTGTATTTTGCTTTACCATCTGATTTCCAATTATATAGTAGTCATTTTAGAGTATATCTTACAAGCATATGAATTTTGTGCTTTAAAAACAGAAATATCTATTTTACTCACCATTTCTAACTTTAAATTTATGCTCATTTTATTGTCATTAACTTGCTCCACAATTATTTGAATGTCCTTGTTTTTCTATATAGCTAACAGATGATCAATATTATCAGAATACATGGTAACTGTGTCAGCTTAAGATAAATGTCATAAAGCATTCAAAATTGATATGATGTCTGTAGAACAGAAATAAACAGAACATTCCAAAATTAAAATTCTTGGCCAGTGTTTGAAAAACAGCAAATGTAACCTGAAACAGGCTTAAAAGAGGTTGAAAATATTTAAATTTTGATAATACTATGTAAAATTAATAATAAATCTTCTGTGCTGGAAGTGTGTGAAAAGTGTATTTTTAGCAATAGATCATCAATATGATCTATTGCTATCTCACTATGAACTTCATTTTATGTTTCTATCTATCTACCTATTAGTGTTTCTATTCTACTAACCACTACTTATGCTATGCCACTAGCTACAGACAATTAGCACAAATGCTATTGAACCCCTGCTAACTGTCTATAAAACCTTCCATTCCATACATAATACAACAATTTTCATTACACTCACAGAATGGCAATTAGGGCAAATATTACAATAAATTGAATTTATCTATCTTACTAAAGATTGAAGTTTCAAGATTAACAACTTATTGCATAAATTGGAATGATATCTTACAAGTATCTTTGAAACCATATTAATTTTATCATTGACATCAATTTTGCTCATTATAAGTAGCTATGTTTTATAACAGGACCAGCTAGCCTAGGAAAAGGATTAACAAATGAAATATCAATCCAAAGATGCTGAATATACAATGAAATTTTTATAGTTTATTAATAGTCCATTTGAAATAAAGATATGTTAAATTTACAAAAAAAATTGTAAATTTTAGCTATCTTTATACTAAATTGCTTATTATATTATTTAATAAATTAGCTATAAAGTAATGGCAGAAAACAACTTATACTCACTCTTCACTAAATCCATTCACATGAAGGATTTTCATCTGTTTTACAATTGTACTTTTACCAGATTCACCTGCTCCTAAAATAAAAAATAAATTAATTAAAAATCAAATAATTTTTTAAAAGTGAATTCTGTTTAGGTTTGTGATCAATTTTATTTAACAAAATATTATCATCTCACTCCATAATATCACAAATCTTTCACTAGCTTACACTGGAGTCCATAAGAACAAAATACAATAGAGCGTCGATTTGCCGAATCAATTGGGGACTGGGGTTGTTCGTATAACTGATATTTCGGATAACCGATGTATGTACAAAAAAATAGTTTAATGTATCCGATTTCGAAATTTTTCTCCGTTGCATGTCGCTTCGCGTTGAATTTTCATCGATGTTAAGCCTAACAAAGACTATTGTATCGTTAAAAATTATTTTTTTATTTTGTACAAACAAAATAAATATATTGAAAAATATAAAAACAATAAAAAATTATACTTCAGATGTTAATTTAGTATCAAAAACGTAAAATATTTAAGTAATCCAAGACATAGCCAAAGATTGAAGCGCCACAGCACTGGCAAAAATTTAAATTTGCCGACTGGAATTCTTTCGGATGATTGACGTTTCAGATGATTGACTTTCGGAAAATCGACGCTCTACTGTACTACCAAAATGACTAAGTCTATTCAGACTTTATTTGTCCATCAAAATTATCCAGTACATAGTGCATTTATTACTTAATGTATTTCTGTCACTAGCAGAATAAAAATATATATCTATTACATGTCCTGGAATTAAAGTGTCCCAGTATCTTTGGGAATAACTCATTTTGTTCTGGATTTTATCCTCAAATGGCATCTCTAATTCAAACATCCTTTCTCATTTGGAATACATCTGCTAAGTTTGAATTTAAACTAAAACCTTCTCATTCTAGACCATCTCATGCAGTGCTCTTTTTCTAAAATAATTACTGCCAGTATGCATATGGTGACTAAAAATCAGGGCTGTGGAGTTGCGTAAAAATCTACCAACTCCAACTCCGACCAGGGGCGGACTTGTTACCGAAAGAGACCCGGAAATTCTGATGTCATCACGTCATCTCAGAATAAAAGATTCAATAAATAGAGTTCTAATAAAGATAGAACATAGAAACTTTTTATTCCAAAGCTAAAGACTCCTCTAAGTAATGACACAGTCAATATATAAATATTCAATATGTATTAGATAATAGAGAGGTTGAGGCACAAGTTCAAATGTTAAACGTGTACGGGTAGCAGAAGTACACGTTACACGTTTCAAGTCCAAGTAAAAATCGTTGAGGCACACATTCATAACATCACGGGACTCAGTGAACATCGTGCATTGACTCACGGGAAATAAGTTGAAAAAAATGGCGGAAGCAAAATAAATCATAATTTTAACCCCAAACACAAAAAAAGCCGATCGTGTACTCACCAAGCTACACATAGCAAACGCCATTATCGACGGTCCAGAACTGCCAGATGGCGGCGCTCACCCGTTACCCGTACACGTTTTGGGCTAAATACGTGCGCCTCAACCTCTCTAATTTTTACTTTTTCGACTGTTATATATAACAGAGAGAAAGTGTAGAACTCGGTCAAAAAATAATCCCTCTGAAATTTTTTTTGGACTCAGGACACCTTGAAATTTTGAGATATGCAAAAGATTCGAGGTTTTTTCTATATATGTGGATGTTAGACTGTGTGGGGGGTATGATTTTGTTTACCTTGTTTGAAGCCTAATAATTTCTGTTGTCAGAGTGGTCAGAATCAGAGTCAGATGGTTTAACACAGGAGTTAGTTATTAATCGTCAAAGTGATTCAACTAAATCATGTCCCCATACACATTCTAACATCTTACATCTAAAATTGTTAAGAACATCTTAACAATTTTACTGTACTATTATAAAACGACAAAAAACTTTGAGGGTAGAGACAAGTTTTATTTTTTTTTTAATTTTGAACACTAATAACGAGTAAAATATTCATTAAGAGATATGACACATGACCCCTTTTATGTCTTCATCCTGTCAACCTTTAATTAAGAACCAAAATTTAATAGTATTAATGTCCCTTTATATGCAAGCTACAGTGCCACATTTTGTTTCTTAAACAATATCTCAGAATGGGTAAAGTTTAATATCTTGGAACAGAAAATAAAGAAATTAAACAAATTAGATGCCAATACACACACATGTGCTAATTTTTCCCCTTTTATTGACTTTTTTTGGGAGTTTAGGAGTTCTCCAAACATGTAGATTTGCAAAAAAACTTGGAGGGTCAAATTTGACACTATTTCAATACTTTTCCGTTTTATATACATAACAAGTTGGGAAGTAAAAAGGAGTCGGAGTCAGTGGATTTTTTGATGACTCTGACTCCAGCTAAAACACCAAAACTCCGACTCCGACTCCACAGCCTTGCTAAAAATAAAGTTCTGTTTTAGGAAAAATATAATAAGTAAAAAACACTGTTTAATACTTTTATTTATTTATTTATTAATAGATGTACACTTTTATATTGTAGCATTTTGAAAAGCTTGCAGAAAAGTTGATAAGTCACAATTTCATGTTTCTAAGAAAATGGCTGAGCTGAGATATCTGTGTATATGTGGAGTGAAAGGAGAGATCTGGTAACAAGGATGTGCTGGTGCAGTGCAGTGTGATAGACAATGCAATTAAGCAAGTGTATCAAGAATTTCTACATTGATTTGGCCAAATGAGAAAGAGAATGAGAGAGAATGTCGAAAGATGAAGCATGTAAGAAGTTGTATGTGGGGAATGTGGAGGAAAGGAGAGGGCATGGAAGACTGAGGAATAGATAGGCTGAGCAAGTGGAAGAACATCTGAAAGAGAAACAGATTCTGAGTTAAAAAGGCACTAAGTGTATGAAAATAATCATGAATGTGGATGAAGCAAAGAGGTATACAGTAGATCCCCCTATAAAAGCGTTTCCTATAGTTATGATTCCTATAAAAATTGTGGCATTATCCGTAAACAACGGTAAAAATAACTCCTATAATACGTAAAACGTCATCGGGCAGCCGAACTACTTACCCGCCGTCCGTAGCGCCACGCTACGGAGAGATTTCTATCGTCTGGACAGTATTATATAAATTATATATAAATTAGGTACTGTACATATAATTATATATTAATTATATATAAATTAGGTACTGTACATATAATTATATATTAATTATATATAAATTAGGTACTGTATATATAATTATATATTAACTTAATTTATTGTAACTTTATTATAATTAAATATATATTTTTCGCCGTCTAGCGTCACGCTACGGCGAGTTAGGCGACCTATCGTCTGTTTAGTACTGTAATTTTATACATTTCTTGTGAAAGAAACATTTCTTATTTAACGGCCATAAAAATTATTTATATTAATGATGTCTCCAAAGGTCAACGAAGTTTTCGCAGAAAAATAATATCAGAAATCGCGGCCGCAATTTGATGCGCTGTTCCGCGACGAAACCAAGCTTTAGCAACGGGCGTAGTCGAACGGTACACACTCGGTAAGCAATCCTACAATTTTTTGTTTATAACGTAGTTTATACGGATTATTTTCAAAAAAATATACGTATTTTGGAAATGTTGAGTCGAATTAGTCTAGAATCGATTAATTTTATGAAAGAAAACCTTTCAAACAGCCGTAGTCCGTAAACTATGATTCCTACAAAATTGATTCATAAAGAACGGAACGTATCTACCGTCTTATAGGGGGATCTACTGTATATGGATAGACAGAAATGGCACAAGATTATCGGGTATGGATGTAGTGCATGATTTCAGCAGGTCCCAGAGTAAAAGTTTGGGTGAGTGTTCCTGCTGTGCTATGCCCTGCCCATATGACATTCTTCAGAGGACTGAAGCTTGCAGGGTGTTGCACTGGAAAGTCACTTTTTTCTTAGCCATCCAGTTTAGAGAATGAAGTGACAATATAGTATGTATGCTATTAACAATAACATCCATTAGATGCAGCACTTTTACTTCTGTATTAATCATTGCTTTTTAAACTGCACAGTGCTCATTAAAGTTTCTTCCAGTTTTTGAGTATTTTAATAATATTTTTGATTGTGACAGGTTTTTCAACCAAAAAACATAAATGTGCATGTTTTCCTACAAAACAAGTATGGACTTGAAAGGTTTTTCTTCTTTCTGTTATCTTTTCTGTCTATAAAGCAATATTAATTTTGCTAAATTTAGCTTAATCTCAAAGTTAGAATAATCACAATAACTTAAGGAAGGCCTCCTGGTATCAAGAAACCTAATATTTTATTCTCTTTTCAATCCATCTCTGGTGAATAACACATTATGTTAATAAAAAACATTCACACACAAGTATTGTACAAGCCTATTTTATTGAGAATAATAACACACATTAATAATGACAGACTAGCTTTGTGGGATTGAAATGTATGCCATCTACAGCAGTGACCACAAATAGCGATTTCCAGCCGCACAGGCAACTACAATGAGTGCGAGGTGTGCGTGTCTTGTCATAATCACATTGTTCGTTGTCATTGCAACTCTGAAACACATGACCTTATAATAAACCAACATCCACTTCGTCTGCTATCGTCATCACTTTTTTTCTTTAATGCAAAGGAATGTCGTTTGCAAATGATGGTACTTTTTACTTAGTTCTATAGCTATATTTAAAATAATATTGTTACTAAACTAAAAACAATCAGCATTTTATATCAAAAAATCTAAAAATAGTATTTGTAATCAATGGTGAGATTTTTACTTATCTCATGCCATGCCTATGCTCTCTTCTTCAATAAAACAAAGAACTAAAACTCCACAGGTGAGCCTGAATAAGCTTAACCAACTTTGATTCTAAAGCTGTATCAATTGGTATTCTCACTTTCTACCATGATGATAACTATTTTCAAAGTTTCCACCATATGACGTGGCCCAAAGGCATTTGGTGATTGAATGAAGATTTGCAATCACCATGAATAGAACAAACTTTTTGTTTCTAGTTGAAGTTGAAGTCATGCCAGCTTTAGGAGGAGGTTTACTAGTTATCACGAACA